TAAAACGTTTTCTTAACTTGACTGTATAATGACTTTTAAATTGTATAAAATCACAATTTTATCAGAGATAGGATGGAATAAAGTTGAGAAGCTATGAAGGCATTACGAATTCTGTCCATATCTGCACTACCTATAAAGTGTTAAGCAAATGTTGATAGATTGTATACAACCTTTCAGGTCATGTTCTTTGAATTTAAAATGCTAAATCTCAAATCACCAGCATTTGCAATCCCTACTATTATAGAGTATTTGAAAGAATAAATATGATTTTTGCTACCTTAAAAGCAGAAAAAAACTGAACCTACCAGAATCACCAGGAGAGAGAGAACAAATATGGAAAGAAGAACACGATGGTAACAGAAAAACAATAAGGGTGAAGGGGGTCATAGAAGTAGAGACCTCCACATAAATCTGTATCTGGCAGTGTTTCTTTCCTCACTGAAATCCTTTAAAACTAAGATGTCAGAACATCAGACCATCCCATCTGATTTATGATCCACTGTCAACCACTGTTGTCAACCAACTGTAGAGGCTGAGGTTGTGAAATCTTTAGGACATGAAAGAGGCAATTGTTTGTGTTCACATGTAGGCATGTGTGTGCATATGTATTCTTGTGCGTGTTTTCATTTATTCATTAGAAGCTGTATATTGCTCGCCCACAGAGAACCACACTGTGGAGCCTGAGGCCCTGAGGGTTTTACCCAGAAAAGGCTGTCTGTTCTTGAGGTGGCTGAGCCCTTACAACATCGCAGGCAACTGTTTTTGTGGTCGGAAATTAAATATTTAAGAAATAAAAGTGGGAATATTATAGGCATAAAAACCACATCCTGCAAATCTCTTTATGCTGCCTTTTTGATCAGTGGGATTAGAATATTTTATTCAGCCACAGTAGGTAGTTATGTCAGGCAGAGGAGAGCTGAAGTTGTGTACAGTATTAGTGTACTGAGATAGAGATCAGAGGTTAATGATGGGAATCAGACAGGAACGAGACATTACTTTCAACGTACGGCTAATCTCCAGACCAGGCGCCTTGAGCTATGTCTGATAACATTGCTAATTATTCCAGATATAGACTCAGCGGGGATTCTTGTAAATAGGCATATCAGTAGCTGAGTTTATTAATTGGGCACTTTACACTGACTCAACGATACCATTGTTTGTACAAGGGAAACCTTAAAAATCCCGACCTCTGCGTGTTACGGGTTGTAGTTCATACAGCGAGGACACACCTGAAAACATGTGTGTTAGCTCATCATTAGGACTACAATGGAAATGAACTGTGAGCAACGTCACCTAAAGAGAGCCAGGCTACATTAATGAACTAACTGCCCGCTTCGAGGTATGTAGTGCATTAAGGTAAATCTATACCAGGTCTAGGCCGTTTGAACACTAACTTTGCCACACTCACTCTCGCTCACTCAGGCATGGGTTCACACACCTGTAATGAAAAAGGACTGGCATGCTGTGTGCAGGAAATAAGGAAACAAAGAAGTTGCCGGTCTGACATCATTACAGCACTCTGCCTGGGGGGCTGAGGCTGAAGGCTGCAGCCATGCCTCAGGGTTAGGGTCTTCGTAGTAATGAGTGGATATGAAGGTTTCTAGAGTCCTTTAACCCTGACCAGATCTGTGCAAGTGGGCCCAGAGGTTAGGACCAGATCTGATACTTAACCTTGTCTGTTCTCTGCCCCTTTCAATGCTTTACAATCTGAAAATCCTCAGGTAGGGTAAGCCTGAATATGTGCCAGATATTTAAAGGCCGAATGATTTGACAGAGAAAACAAGAACAAATGTTTTTTTCCTAATTTTCCTGTCAATTCTCGCCATGCCAGTTTGGTTAATTACATTTAATCTCCTTCTCAAGTGATGCACTGTGGTGGTATTTGCTGAAGGGGTTGTTACATTATATTTATCGTCGTGCCTTGGTGATGGAGACCATGGTGGCCAATATCATTGTGGTGACTGTTCTCACATAATCATGCCTGTTTCTGTGCTTCTCTGGAAATCTGCTTCCAAACTGATCAGAAATGTCAAATACCTCAGAGCCAACACAGTCGAGGCTGAGCTTAGAAAATACCAGTGAGGGACAACCACAGAATATGTCAAATACAGCACGGTCTCCCACAGAAATGCCCTGTTTGCTGTTTTAAGAATGTGTAAATGCAGAAATGAAGCGTTGCTAAATGTAATGTTGCTCTGGCTCCTGTAGGAGTTGAACACGTCGATAAATCCCTAAAGGACACAGAAGACTTCAGACTCCAAACCATGACCACTAAGATTACTCTGTTATATGTGACAGAGGACAAAATGAACCAGGCAGAGAGACAAAAGTAATATAAGTAAATGAGAGAAAGGCAGATTTTTGGCACGATATATAGCATCATGTATGGTTGTCATGGGGCTTTTTTTAGGCAAACATTGTCCCAGAACAGGCCTAAAGTTATCAAGCGACCTCCCATGACCTCAGCATCTAATCCAATCAAACAGCACCATAAGTGGGAGCATATATCTCAAGCCAATCGTGTTAGAGCGTACAAATAGGATTATGGGGTTTTTAGTGTGCGGATTCCACCCTAGAGCTTTAATTTGTACTACTTACACACATGGCATTGTGTTCACATTGTCAGAGCCTTCCTGCCTGGTCTTGCATTCCAGCTTTTTATTTCTGTCGCCATCTCTCTGTCTCTTCCTCTCCTTGCATCTACTGTAGCCTATGGCGCTCCAACCACGCTGTCCTTGCACAGCAATCTGGTATAATTTCTTATTATAACCTGGGGAGCGAACACACAAACTCAAACACACACAAAAATATATACCGCACTCCTCCCAGATGTCCATGGGGGGAAGTCATTAACAGTGTGTCTTCAGTAAAGCACAATTGCTTCTCTGTGTGTGAAGTGTGTTTGTTGCAGGAAGGTGAGGAGAAGGTGAGAGGACTAATTAGTCATCAGATAGAGTGCATGGCCAGGTAGACCAAAAACATTCCTCTCGCATGGAGTCGCCTTGATAAGCGGCACCAATATAGCCCTGGTGCCAGACTGACTCAGCTTTCAACTCTGCACTCAGGCTGTTTTGCCAAGAGAACAACAAAGGAGCTGGAGGGATTACAACTGTTCCCATGCTTTCTTGTAAGGAGGCATGAAGGTGGTTTCATGTTAGGGACATAACCCAAAATGTGGCAGACTGACTCAGAATAGGTAGATTATTGTTTTGTTATTGCTTAATTTACTTACTGTGTTGCCTGAATATCTTTGTTAAAGCAGATGTTATACAGATTTGCTGAGGAAATAAGACCATAAAACCTCAGATGATAAAATTAGAATGTGCCATTAGATGGAATATTTATGTTCTCTTTGAACAAAAGCCAGCGATGTGTGTGTTTCATTTGCACATCTGTACATGCACGTTGCGTATGTGTGAGTTGTGAATAACAGCCGGATAAAGCTGTTGTCAAACTGTTGTAATGTGATTCCAGTTAAGATTAATGGACAGCTTCTTCATTAGTTTATCAAAGGTAAAAAGGTGCATATTTTATGGCCGTACCAACATCGAGTTATTTCATTTTAAATACACAGCCCTCTCCTAATGGAGACTGTAAAGACAGGGCAAGACCCCACAAGTTACAGCCGTCTGCCAACATACAGCTTGATCTCTATATCACTTTCACTGTGCACGTGCATTCATACCATATGAAATATTGAACTGTGCACGGAACTTTACCATCGTTAAACTTTAAGAGATGCTTTGGATTTCATATATTAAAAACAACCACAAAACAAACACAAATTCTATTCATTAATTTGGCCTGCAGAGCCCTTTTTTTAAATTTCTGCCGCACTATAAAGACACAACCACCCATTCATTAGATCGATTGCACAACACAACCCCTGTGGTGATTCCTCTCTTTGTATACTGCTTTAACAAAGAGTGCAATATTAAATCTGGGAGAAATGATGGAAAGGTTGACCCGATGGGGACATAATGTGAGACTGGTTTGTGGCAGGAGTCTTGGGAACTCATTTCAATATCACCCCATGGGGTTTTTGCATAAATGAGTGATGTGGTGTACATTAACATTAAATAAGTAGAACTCATCAGTCCCATGCAAAACAGTTTCTTTTTAGAGATTGTGGTGTTTTTCTTCCGCCTCTCTATGGGAGGCCATATTTCACTCTGTTTACGTCTGTCCTTGCTGTGGGGGCCGCGTGCGTGTGTGTGTGTTTCAAGACAGGAGCCTCTGTGGCAGCGCCCTACAGTTTCCCCGTGTAGTGTGTGTGTGTGTCTGTGCGAATATGTGTAGAGCAGGGAAGAGCCTTTTTTGAATGAGGTTTGCTCACCATTTAAACGACAGACAAAAGACTCCGCTAATTAAAACTATGGCTACTTGTGTTTCACTCACTCTCCTTCCCTCCTCTCCTCTCTGACCCTCCCCTTTCTCACTCTTACTTTCCACACACATGCACTTTTCAAATGCCTAATTTGTACCCACCGTTGAGTGCTGGGCGGACACACACAGCCTAATAGTAAAAGACAATGTTCTTTGTGTTGCGTCGTCTTAATGAATCCAGCCCACAGGATCAGCGAGGACCCCTCATTGGTCGCCGCCCTGCTGCCTGTTTGTTAGTTGGGCACCTCATACCAGAGCATAGTCAAGCCACAGAGAAGAAATTATAGCATGAATGAACACTGACTAATACAGCTTCTATAAAATAACCACTCCATTGTGAGTAGAGATCTCAATGCAGTACCACACCTCAGGGTTTTGGCACACATTGGAGAGGGGGGAAAAACTGCACTTAGCTTTCTGTATTGCACTGATGAGTGTGGTATAAGGGTGAGTGGCACTGAATAGAGTGTGAGTTCTGCTGGTTGAAAACCATGCTTTAAATACTGGGATTCAAACATTTACAGCGTAAATTGTGTTAATGTTGCTTTCATAACACGCAAACTCTACCGAATCAATCAAACCAAGGCAACCTCAGGGTAACGTATGTGTAACTAATGGCTTCTTATTGTCTCCACAGAGATCTGAGCGAGAACTTCATCCAGTCCATCCCCAGAAAAGCCTTCAGAGGAGCTACAGACATCAAAAACCTGTGAGTACCTCATCCCTTTCCGCAGGGATGGATGTACTAATGTAATACATTATGAATATAGTTGCCAATGAACTTGCTGTGAGCCTCTGATGTAGTGTGGATAACTCGATGAAATCAATGATGAATGAAGCAAATCAAACTGAAAAGCTGCAAGTGAACAGCACTCAGCATAATTCCAGCATGTTAACATATTTCTTTATGTGGCTGAGTTAATAGCCCTTGCTAAGAGTACAAATTGTGTGTATTGGTGTGTTTGTGCATGTTTAGTGAATTGACTCTGATTAAAAATGACACTAGCAGCTCCCCAAAGATGGCTTGTAGCAACAGTGATTTACACCATCAGCAGATTACATGCACATCCACTCACAGAAGCACAGATTTATGGGATGTATTGATGCAGATAAACACAAGTCACGTCCCCCTTTGCTTCTCTTCTTGGGGGTAACATGATCTGAGATGACTAAGCCAGTATGGATTTACAATAGCTCATCAGTGTACTTCTTACTGTATCAATGAATACAACTACTCCACAGGGAGAGAAATATTGTGTAAGTGTCTTGTGTAACAAAGCCTCTCTTTTTTCCCTGTGTGCTCCGCAGTCAGCTGGATAAAAACCACATCGCCTGCATCGAGGATGGAGCCTTCAGAGCTCTGAGGGGCTTGGAAGTGCTGTAAGTATCTGAAGTGACGCTATTCATTCAGCTTCACCTTGCATCAGTCCATTAAAGCACTTAGTTAAATCAAGGCTTTGTTGATAATCATATCTAATATATACACACATAGCGCGGACCTTTAATTAGTATGGCCTTGGTTCTTGTGCCAAAATACCCCCAGTGGGCCTCATGAGGGGGCCTGCATGATGGAGACCAAGCTCCATTAACTCATTGTTCCACATAGTTGACAGCAGCGTTCCCCTCCATCACATTAACACCCCCCACTCCTCCACCTCCATCTACACACCCTATCCAGCCTTGGGCGGGCCATCTGACAAGGGAGTACCAACCATCTTGATCAAAAATCCCATTCAAGTGAGCATTCCACCCAAGGCGCAGCAGTGGCCATGTTATGCGTTTTTTTTAAACATTTAATTAATCATCCCTTGTCAAAAAAATCATAATCACAGGCCTCTGTCAAAGCTCTCCACCTGAAACAATGGAGGCCGTGGGACAAAGGCACTTTGACAGCCTTGTTATTTTTATTGTGAAAGACTGTGTTGTGCATTTGTGTTTTTTTTTTTAGGGGGTGGGGGAACAAAAAAAAGCCATTAAAGGCTGCTTTCATGGCATGGATGGATTGCAGATGTAGTGATAGGTTTGTCATTATGCTGTAAGAGGGGGTGTTGGGGGGGGGTGATTTGGTGGGGTCTGTGTCTATAGGTTTTATGGGGGAGGAGGACAGGTTGTGTTAAAGGGGGGAGCAGCTTGAAATATGGTCGAGGGTTATTAGGCTGATTGAAATTACCTGATTCTCTCGCTGCAGCTGATGCCCAGGGTTCAATGGGTGTTTGTGTGTGTGTGTGTGTGTGTGTGTGTGTGTGTGCGTGTGCGTGTGTGTGTGTGTGTGTTGTATCTATCAACTACAAGTTGGGGCGCTTTAATGTGTATGCATGTGTGTATATTTGCATGCACGACTGTACGTGTGCGTGGGAGGTGCGAGGGCTTCCCATCTGTGTGGAATGAGGTGTTATATTCCCGATGGGATGCCACAAAGAGAGACAGCAAGAAGGGAGAGAGGGGGTAGATTAAAAAGGATGGAACGGAAGAGGACGGCCGCAACAAAACTCTTTTTGAAGTATAGATGTAAAAATATCTCCCCCGCACTGACGATATGACTTTGTTTGCTCTTTGTTTCTCACAGAACGCTGAACAACAACAACATCAGCAGCATCCCCGTCTCCAGCTTCAACCACATGCCCAAGCTACGAACCTTGTAAGTCACATTTATCTCACCACAGTGCCCTATACCTCAGTAAAATAAAAGATATATTCCTCATGCATGCAGGCACACTAAAGAAAGTGCTGAAGCCCCATGTGATCTCAATGGGAGTAGATAGGGTCTGTCATTCCAGGCAGTGTTAGGGAGCAGCCATAACCACAGAGCACCACAGAAGAGTCTGTATCAATGCCAGCAGCCATTATCCCGTCCAACTAAACACACTCAGAGCAACAACTGGACCGATAAACAAAAATAGCCCCAGAAGCCTATTGTACATTGTGCATTGTATGTGATTACTAAATCTGAAATTATGCACAAATTAAAACAATTATGCCTGCTGAAAACTCTTAGAGCCGTGACTCCACGGCTCTTGCGGTGGCTTTTTGGGCTTCCTCACTCCCAGTGGGCTTATATTAAATAGCTTTTCTGTTTATGTGCTCACTATGTGTCTGTGCACACAGTTTTGCAAGTGAGCAAACGTGCTCCAGAGGTCCACCATACCACAGCGAGAGTTATTCTGGACAGGCACAGCATTTCAGGAATGCTGTGTTTGGAGAATTGGGTTTGTAGAAGTCCTCTTTAGTGTTTCAAATGTGCCATTTACAATCATCCATGTAGCGTATCATTTAGTGTGTCTCACCACAGGGATTGGATGTGATGAGTTCTCGGAATAAATAGACACTTTCTTGCTATTTGTGTCCTCAGCTAGTGTTTTTTTTAGATATGAGAAAACCTTTTAACGCATTCAATTGTTCCTCTCTTTTAACAGCCGTCTCCACTCCAACAATCTCAACTGTGACTGTCACCTGTCGTGGTTGGCCCAGTGGCTCAGACAGAGGCCTACGATTGGTCTATTCACCCAATGTACTGGCCCTACTGAGCTCAAAGGACTCAATGTGGCAGAGGTACAGAAACACGAATTCGCCTGCTCAGGTAAGACACATGTAGTTACTAACACTTTAGAAGAGAAATACCAAAATAACTTTGCGTTTTATATTGTGTATTGTTTGGTTAGTCATATACAAGGTTAGTGACATGGAAAGCTACTTGTACAGCCTCTCAAAAAGGGATGAAAGGGCATTATCATTGTGGGAACTTGTATAAAATGTTTCATGGCATAAACTCTCTGTGCTATCTAGTAGATATCCCCCCTCCACTCCCACTGTGTCAGTGTGTTCACCTGGCAGCCACCTGACAGCTCCTGTGCCCCCGGGCAACCTCACGGCTCTCCTCTGGCCCTTTCATGTGTCTCCAGCCTTCAGACGCTGGCAGGACAATGCCACGACATATATATAAAACACACACTTTGAGCAAAGGCCTCACAGCTGACAGTAGTGCTCCTCTTTCAGTAGACATTATTCATGTCCTCTAACCTCTCCGTGCAAGGATTATTTATCTTTTAACTTGCTGTTTTTCTCTTGCCTTGTGCGTGTGAGAGAAAGAGAACATTTGTGATGGGGTTATCATATCAGGACAATGGGAAAACAGCATGAGAACCTCTACTCCCCACAAGGCCATCTCATTCTCAACACCAGCTGTGGCGGCTGTTTGTGTCTACGTTTGCGTGTTTGTCTCTCTGTCTCTCTTTCTCTCTCTTTCTCTCTCCATGGCTTGTGATTTTTACACAGCCATACTGCGTGACAGCACAGATCATTAACTATTCATCGCCCAGGGAAAGAGACTCAAAGCGTGGGAGTGTAACAATTCCAGATAGGAAAGGGGAGCAGTGGGTGTCAGGGACATTTGTTTCTGGATGGACACAGGTACAAAAAGTTGAGTTTTTGCATGATGGGTAGATGCAGATCATGCGGCATGCAGATAGAAGCTTCCATTATGTAAGAACTTTTATGGGTTTTTGTGTTTTATTGACGAAAGCTGTAGGAGATTCATTCTTTGTATGTCTCCAAAGAGAATGATCATTGCACTTTTAAGGCAGGGCAAACAATAGGATGAACATCCATCGCTGTGCTGGCCCGCCTTTCTGTGGAAGAAATACACGGTCATGCATTCACACAAACACGTGCACAAACACATACTCCCAGTTTCTTCCTGAGTGGATGAGTGACCAGAAGTTGAACTCCCAGAGAAGGACTCATTAGGGACTGGCTTGTTGGCACACACACACACACACACACACACACACACACACACACACACACACTGTCATTCACCTCAGCTCACCTCAC